AGGCATATCAACCTTGACCCGCAACTGACAATGTGTTTTAATTACAAGAAAATACACTTGTAATTCCAAAACATATTGCCAGTTTTGATACCTTTGGCTTGAGGACACGTGACTAGCCAAGTTCAGAATGTTCTAAGTAAAACTAAGTATCATAAAGCGAAAAAATGATGCTGCTAAAATCAAGCCATTTTGATAGCGCTGTGTTGGACATGATTGCGTTTTCATGAATGTGAGGTCTGCTGCCAAACTACTATCATTTTTCTAATGGTTTCTTTCAGGATGTGTTCTCTCATCCTTTTTTTTAAACACTGGCATTTTATCAACTCACCTCTGAGCTTCTTTAGCCGAGAAATTTTGAAAAATCCAAAATCATATCAACTCACCCCCTGGGGGGTGGTGAGTTGATATGAACTTTGGCGTTTTAAAAAGGGGCTTAATATATACATTTTTTATTCATTTTTGCTGATTGCCTCCCCAAGGCATGTGCCATGAAACTGGCACAAAAAGAATTCCGTAAATGAATGTGGCTTTTAAAGAAATCTAGAATAACCTCAAAATCCATATCAACTCACCCCGGTTTACGGTAGTAAAGATGTGTCATTTTGCATACATCCAGTGTTTTGAAGTCATTGAAGGATAGATCATTGATCAATCGACCTTAAAATTGGATAAATATTATTATTAGAAACATGCTTATCCAGTTGTATGCTGCTGAGTGATCTATTGCGTTCTCTACTATGTAGCTAGTAGATGAAAACTATTCGTAATTGCGTTGCATTTAGTATGTTCTTACACTCTGTGTCGAGCCCAATTTAACCCGCGCCCCGTAGGGGGGGGGGCCGAAACGGCCCCCCCCCTGTCCTTTTCGGTCGATATCTCCTAAACGGCTGGAGATATCGCCACCAAACTTTCAGGACCCCTCCGGGCATCAATTTTACACATTGTGACCAAAAATTTTTCCAGAGGCTATGATAGGTTGGCCACAAATGACGTCAGAGTGACGTCATGTTCTGTCATTTTCGACCGAAAAAAGACCTTCGCGAGAAGACCTGTCAGGACCACAGCTTTGAAGATACAGAAAAATGATCAAGACATAAAAGGTGTAGAATTGACAGGGCTACAAAACTGCTATCTCGAATTTTTGAAATTTTTGAGTTTTGACCCCCAAAAATCAAAAAAGCATTTTTTTGGATATATTCGCCAAAAAATCCAAAAAGTTTTTTGAGTTTCGAAAAAAACCGGAATATATGTGATAGTGCCTACTGTCTTCTATCTACATACCAAATTTCAGATCGATACCTCGTTTTTTGGCCAAGTTATAGCGAAAAAACTGTTCAAAAATGATGACGTCAAATTTTCAAACTCAATTTTTGGCAATTCTAGAACTCGTAGAGCAAAACGAAGACCACCAATAGACTCCCCGAGACGAGCTGCATCGAATCGATACCCATTTTATGCAAAAATATCAACTTTGAAATTTGACCTAATTTGACCTGACCTTGACCTGACCTTCACCAAAACGTGACCTAGGCTGGCCCCAAAGGCTGCCTAACCCACATAATCGCATTTGTCATGTAAAATGGACCATAAAACATGTATCACACGACACATTCATATTGTGACCCCCGGTGACCTGACCTCGCTGTGACCTGACCTGGTATCAGTGACCTCAGATAGCAAAGTATGTGTTTGACGAACAATGTACCATCGATGGTTTTCAATAAATTACCAATTTACTTGCTTTCACAGCACATTTCTTGAATTGCCTGTGAACGGTGAAAATCTGACCTTTGACCTGACCTGTGACGTCATCGGTTTGACCTAGGTCAATGAAATTTGGTCACAAGGTAGTTCCCGGGTGGGGCTATCGAACGCCGTTTGAATTTTGAAAATCGGCCGGTAACTTTCCGAGATCTTAGGGGGGGGGGGCCGAAACGGCCCCCCCCTACGGGTGGTAGGGTCCGCCGGTAGCCCTACGGGGCGCGGGCTAACTCTCTTTGGTAAGCATTCTAGCTCAAGCGACAAACCACAACGTCGTGTTAACTGTTAAGTGTCATTTTCAGCACGACAATGTGGCGAAATGATTCCATCATGGCTTGTTTGCGCGAGTCATGTTCCTCGCCACGGCTTCGAACATTTGCAACATGAAATTATGCACCAATGTGGCCATTACAGGTCTAATGCACTAATGCATGCTTGGGGTGATGGATTGCTAATTTTGCTTCCTGAATTGATTCCAATTTATAAGCGCTCCTACTTTATCGTCTATGCGCTCCTTTTGCGCGCAGTCTTTGTGTCCGACTTTCATTTATCGACACCGCCTGTCCCATTACAGCAATCATTGATTTGCGATAATTTGATCCTGACTTGACCTTTTGCGGTTAAAGGGAAGCACAAAACCAGGAGAAACACTGCTCGGATTTCCACTTTCGTCCCAATTCACCGAATAATTGCGTTTTACTCTGTCCGAATGTTGTAACTGACGGACATAAAGCGCTTTTAGTGAGCATTGAACTTCATTGAATCGAAGTTCCAGTAAGTGTAAATTGCGAAGCCAGTGTAACATGTGATAAAAATGGACGCTTACCAAGGTTCTTCGACAAGTTGGATAGTCATTTTTGTGTCGTTTTTTTTTCCTGTTTTTTTTTTGGGGGGGGGGGGTGGGTGGGGGATATTTTTAGTTCATAACCATTCATTATTCATTCTGTTACGTCTAAAATAAACGTTCGCATTTTGTCGATTAACCCTCGCCCGTATAGGGGGGGGGGGGTCGAACGGACCCCCTAGGGTTTTCGCGAATAACTCGCGTAAAAAGCGGCCGATCGCGACGAAACTTTCAGTACCCTCGCTTTTATCAATTTTACACCTACCCTGAAATTTTCATGACCCTGACCTTAATGACCTTTGACCTGTGACCTACTTTTCGAGACCATGTTTGGCCGGAATCGCGATTCGGCGTATGTTGGCTCGCATTAGCCGCGCGTTTGCAGTCTTCTCGTGGTTTTAAGCGTCCAAACATGGGATATGATGCTGCTCCCATGCATTAGGGTGGGTGTCAAGGTCACCGGAAAGGTCAGGTCAGGTCATTGACCTTTGATGACCTCGGTTCACTTTTTCGAGTTTTACATGTTGTCAGGTCAGTTTTTTAGCTGGATTCGAATTTAGCAACCATATGAACATTTACGAAGTAGTTTTGGCACCTTCGTAACATGTTACGAAGCTGTCAGGGGCGGTTGCCACCTACTACGAATACCCTTACTGGTTGACCTGACCTGACCTGACCTGACCTGGCCGAAATGCATAAAGGCATCATCTGTAATCAAAACTAACATGATATTCGTGATCAGCACCCAGAAAAACCCCACAGCAGTCACGCTTTACGACTTTCTAACAGGTCCCGATTTTCCCCGACTTTTGGGTCATTGACCTGACCTGGAAGGTCAACCGATGACCTAGGACCTTAAAATTGGGTATCATCGGCTTCCTCTCCTGACGGGCAACACGCTCATTTTTTTCCGCGAAGCTCTAGCTCGATCAGGGGCGAAACGGCAAGGGGGGTCCAACGGACCCCCCCTTATACGTTCGCGGCTGGAAAAACACCAATACGGGCGAGGGTTAAGATGTGTTTTCTGCTATTCACTGATGGGGTACTTTGAACCAAGACCATTTCGTTACCGCCGACACGTTTTGTTGTAGGGCGATAGACCACTTGTCTGCCTTATTAGTTCAGCTATCGATTATTCAGCGCATCGTTAAGCCGGGGGATAGCTGAAGCCGAGGCCTCGCTCTGTTATGTATGGATACCAGCCGGCCTATTCAGTCATCATCAGTCGGGAGAATTAATGTTCAAATTATGCATGAGGTGCTGGTGAATAAATTAGCTCGCGTGTCACAATAATGCGCGACTGACATTTTCAATAGCTCCTCTGGTGAGCGGGGCAGACCGAGACGACTGCACTGGGACCACCGATACCCGCACCGACCATGTCAGCTGCGCTAATACAATTGGTCGGGAACTGGATCATTACAGTTGGTCCTCCGAGCACTGGTACGGTACAGTTGGTCTTCACTGGAGGCTGGCCAGTCACAGCTAATCCTCAGGGATATAGTATGAGCATGTATGAGTGCCACCATCTTGAGAAACAGATATGTTTTTGTATTGGGCGTGCACTCAACTGTCCTTCGCTATCCGAGCTGCTCAATCAACCCGCGAAGATGGATACTCGCATGTTGTTCCGTCCACGCAATTTGTATTCATTTGAACACGTGGATGATATTCGTCATTTTGCGTGTGCTGCTTGGCGTGCGATCTTGGTCCCCCTGCGCGCGGGCCCGCGGCGGATGATGAACTGGGAACGGTCCAGACTGAATATCTGTCCCCTGACATCCATGGAATAATGCATCTTCCTAAAATGGCTCCCGGCGGCCGAGAACACACGCCATTCGTCATCACACTGCTCGTTATAATGCTGTGCCTGGGCTGTTATATCTGCAGCACATACATGTAGAAGACGGTAAATTTCAGGCGCACTTTACGAGTGAAGCTTTTGGAGCCTTCCTTTGGCATTGCACTGACTTTTGTGTTGATGGTTATGACTTATGAGGGCTTTGCCGTGCGGTGGAAAAGCGCGCACATGCAGCGATTGCTGAGCCATGGGTTGATATTTTCCAGTAGGTGTGGGCCCACAACTGACAAATGATTTCGTCCAATTTTGCCATTAGCGATATCGTTCATCTTTCTAGATATCTTTTCTTTAGGCATCTATTTCATAGATTCACCTCTAGCCTTCAAAAGATCTCGATTTATCAGCTCAACATGTCATCGATGGTGATTAGTACCAAACATGTTTCAGTGTGCATTGTGAAGTTGAGTTCCAGCTCCAGTTTCCCTGAACTTGTCTCACTGCAATACACGGTACCCATGTCGACATCGTGATGTGGGTCTCACATGGCGTCTCGACTGAGGCTTATCGCTGACCTTTGGCGCCCTTTGTTTGCAGGCCAAACTCGAGACGAAGGCCCTGAAAGCCAAACGTCCCGGGTTCACCGATGAACGCTACACGGAGACGTCGTACTGGTTTGAGAACGGTGGGTCCGTGCGCCCGCTGCGCTCTTCAGGCGGCTCTAGCGCCTCCGGTACCGACCATTGCTAACCGTGCGTGCTAATCTCTTGAAGCATGGATTACGCCAGAACTCTCAAGGCAGGCGCACACACTCACATATTCACGTAAAAGAAAATCATTCATAAATACAAGCGAGTCACGGAAACGGAGACAATGCCATGATGTTCGAACTGACAACTACATAGTTATAACCGTCAGAGTAAACGGTAAAACGTGCCAATATTAAGCTCCGCTCGTGGTGCTACACTGGCAGCGCCCCGGCTCTGTTTGGAGGGCGTGGGCTCCGATAGTGGTGCTCGGAGACCGGACAACCATCTCCGAAGGTGTAACCGCCGGCTTCGATCGGCCGTTCCGATAATATACGACCGTTTGGGGCGGTGTGCCCCGGCCGGCGGATGTGCACCTTACTACGGGAGCGTAGTGGCCCGGCGAGACGGCGGAACAAAGAAAGCCACGGTCGTGGCTCGTCGCAGTGTCCTGTTAGACGGACCGGGTTGTTTGTCGAACCTGGATTTACAAAACAGCGCTTCATCACATAGGTACTATGCACTGGCCCATTGACAGCGTCATGAACACTAAATGGTCCCGACGTTCCCTAAGACCACTCATAGCCGTTCCTTGACCTCTGGAAGCTAGTCATAGCGTCACTTGACCCAAGACAGGTCGGTGTGGCTTGACCTCTGTGTGAGCCAGGTCAGTGACCGATGACCTCTCTCCGAGACAGGTCAGTATACTGTGACCTCTCTGTGACCTAGGCGTTCCTTGACCTCTCTATTAGCCGTGTTTGTATGTCCTTTTACCTCTGTGACCAATGCCAGTGACCGGTGACATCTGTGACCCAGCCCTGTGGCCGGTGACCTCTGTTAGCCAGCTCTGTTTTCCGTCACCTCTCTGACCCAGGTCGGTGACCGGTGACCCCTGTGAGCCAGCTCTGCCTCCCGTGACTGGGGTCACTGCCGCCGCCGCCCGGCGCCGGATTACGGACCGGCGCGGCCTTTGATGTCGGCTGGCTATGTGCCGTGTCGCCTGCTCAGTATTCATGCGCGCCGCCTCATAATCCGTCACCATTGGCTGCCGGCCGGCGGAATGGCTCCCGAGCCCCATCCAGTATCCCCTGCCCCCCGTCCATACGGCCCAAACGGCCCCGCCTGAACTCCATTCGCGTACCGGGTATATTCGAGACGAAAGGTGTATATTGCCTTCCCAAACTAACGATATGAAAGGCAAACGTTAAATATTTCCCAGCTGTTTTATCTGCGGGAGTTAAGCTTACACCTTGAATATTGCAGCTCTTTTCCTCACATTTGTATTGCCAAATGCATTTAGCTAAGTCAAGGTAAATAAATTAAACATTGTTTTGCAATCCCAGTGCCTTGAGGTGTCTGACTGAATAATCCTAGCATATCATTGTTGAGACGCCTCTCTTTAATTAGTCAATTCTTAAATGATCGAGCACATTCATCTTCGACGAGCTATTGCTGCCTAGTGACTACTGAGAGGGTAGGCAAAAACTTCTCTGAAAACACGGCGACTTGAGTCGTCCAAACTTTAGAGGTGCCTCAGCAATGGAAATACTTTCGATGCATTGGTGGATGTATGTTAACGGCACTAATGCCAGTGCCACCTGATTTGAGAGCTTGTGCAGGTGACATTTATTTTTGACATTTATGTCAAAAATAAGTTTATGACATTTTTAAATAGATTTAAAAATGTCATAAATTTATGACATTTATTCGTTTCACTGTCGTTTACATAGTGCCGTTTGAAATGCTGCTTTCAAACTCGCTTGACAGTAGGTAACTGATGTTCATTGTTCAGCTGAGCGCTATCGTCTTTCTCTGTGGGACACGGACACCAGTTCATATTCAAATCTGTGTGAGAAATGCCTCGGAGGAATGCTCCATATTTTTCTCACCCGACATCACCCTCAATTGAATCTCATCACTGTCCGACCCGACCCCACGTGATCCGTCTAGACGGTGCCATCCTCTCAGTTCAGCGAAGTCGGACGTTAGGAGTTATCCAGCAGAGAAGATGGGCCGCTCGACAAAGCCCGGCGTATTACCTAGGTGATATTAGGGCGGCATGCTCATCTCGGGGCGGACGGCGCCGAGCGCTCCTTCTCATTCAGTTCAGCCGGTTAGCCGCTTCCAACTAGCGAAATCGGCTCAGGGAAGTTGACTGGGGTGCTGTTATAACTTTACAAAAGCCAAAAAGGCTGGAGCATGGTGCAGTTCTGTTTTAGCGAGCATAAAGCTAGGAAATGTACGTACATCAAGTGATGCCTGAGTTGGGCCGCATGATTTGGGTCATTTCATTGCAGGATGAAATGTGTCATTCAGGATAGGGATGACTGGAGCATCATTTCAAATTTCCTGGTGCAAATTTTTGGGAGGGTAGACAAGGCTATCTTTCTGGAGCTCATAGCCTCTGTTACTTATTGCAGCAGTAAGTAAGCAGTAACAGGGAGGGGTACTGACCTTGATCAGGAACGGACGCTCGGGAGCCGCCATATCCGCGGTCTCAATTAGCAGTAGTGCTTTCATTTGGTACAGTCCACGTACTGCGCCTGTGATGACGCCATCATTTTGTCGTCATCTGGCCATCGCCACCACATCTCACCAGTAGCTGCACAGTGCACACCATCATTTTTCGATGGAGTTCCTCACACTGTCCCTTAGTTTGTTCTCAGCCTATATGTTCTGCTTCTCTGTGACTGTCAGGGGTGAGGTGCAGGACTTTGCGCATTCAGCAACTTTGCGGAGTGCGGGGCTTCCCTAATTTGCGTCGGCCACACCTAATCTAACTTTAGGAAGGCTAGTAATTAGTTTTGCAAATAAAGCGATGAACTGCCAACTTTAAGGCCATTGCATTATCTCAGACGGTTTTACTGCATCTGCAAGGTCGCAACGGGGGCATTCCACGTCAAATCGAACAAAAATCGGCTGTTTTGCACCTTACCATCAGCGATTTCATTATAAATTTGTGAGCGAGTTCCTGTGTCGCCGCGAACAATACATTGATGTTTTTTGCACATTCTGACCACAGGTCGCCTACCTAAATATAGGGCATCGAATTTTTACAAAATGTTGCATCTTTATATTTTTGAACGACCATAACTTTGGTTGTACTTGTTTGATTTGAATGAAATAAACCTTACTGTTTAGGTAATTTCTTAAGCATTTGTTTAGAATTGCACCTACTTAAATATATGACCTTGAAATTTGCTTAACTCTGTTCTTAAGCACAAAAATTGAAATAGCAAAAAACACGTCACCTTCGATTTGGCTAATTTTCATATATTTTATTGCCTACCATATTCTTAACAACCTGTGAAAAAATCAGAGTGGGCCATTCATAAGTTCTGAAGAAAATGGCATATATGCAAACGTATGTTAGCACGCGCAGTGGAGGGGGAAGAGTGAATTTCGCCCCACCCCTCCTGTTTTTCGCCAATATCTCATAGTATTAATGCGAAATTAATTATAGCTACCTGTCCAAAATTGAATTGCACATCTCATCGTGCAAGCAAGAAGAAAATCGGTTCACAACTGGTCTAGTAATAGCGGTGTAAAGTGAACATCCTGTCGCTGCGGCGACGCGGCGACTCGGCAGCCGGCGCCGACCGCTAGCCGCCGCCTGAATTGTAGACTGTGCCGGGACGAAACGGAACCGTTCCGTCTTTACATCGCGCTCCTTACCGCTGATTCGGTTCGATTCGCGTCAAATTTTGTGAGAAGACTAAGAAATATACAGGCAATCTTATGGTTTAAGAATTTTGAAAATCGGTTGGTAAACAATTGAAATATGAACGTGTAAACACAAAATTGTGATTGCTGCGTTTCCCGCGTCAGCCGATCCCGCCTCAGCCGGCGACATGATACTCTTAGCAGGTCTCTAACTGCCATATTTATTATTGGATTAACTAGAAATTCCCCATACATACTCAAAAATGTATATTCTTTCGTATAGTGAAGATAAAAAGACGTGAAGATATCGTTGCGTGATAATGTTTTCGTTGAATTTTTGGCTTCATGATGCATTTCCATACGGCTCAAAATTCACCGCAAAATACCGTTTGCCTGAGACACTTTTACTATGGAACTTGAATGCTTGACTACGATGACTATGTATTTCCATTCTCGCAGAGTTTGGGATATCACTAATCAGCAATCATTCATTTCAGAAAGTGTACACAAGCAAGCATGTCTTGACTGTCTTTCAAGGTCACGCGCGGTTGCGTGATGTTGATGCATGAAAACGGCGTTTGCCGCGAGAGTTATGAATGGCCCACTCCAATTTTTTCACAGATGGTTAGGAACATTGTGACGGACATAATATGTAAAAATTACCCGAATCGAAGGCGACGTGTTTTTTGCTATTTAAATTTTTCTGTTTTAATTCAAGGTCAAATGCATTTCAAGGTCACTTCAATTTAATTTTATAATTAAAAATCAAAGCCTTATCAATTGCCTACAAGACCCTGTTAATATCATTTTGATGCCAGAAAAGGAACCAGAGTTATAGACATTTAAAAAAATTGATGTGTGGCATTTTTGGCTATATTCGATGACCTATATCTCAGCGATACTTTATCAAATTTCGAAACTATTATACGTAACTCAGTTTTGAACCATGCCCAGTCTGCCTACAAATTTTCAGAAAAATCGAAGGTGATGACGGATTTCGGTGTTTGATTTGACGTGGAATGCCCCAACGCTGCAGCATTGGTTACTTGCGCACCGATGAAATGCCGATATATAAATGGTACGATTTTCTAAATAACAGTACACAATTCATGGCTAAGTGAAGTTGACGTAGATATGTTGATGCACCCATGCTCGTTTCTGTCCACTGTTTAGTTTCCAGTCAAATGATGGAATATTTTGCAGTTTTCGTGATACGCTACAAACATAGATTGCAGAATGCGTCCCCCACATAGATATGGTATAGCATACCGTAATGACGTAACGACCGACCACATATGACCACGTGTGCCTATAATTATGTTGATTAAGTATGACAACGGACGCAATGACCGCTGTTTGATCGCCGTTCAGTGCTGTGACGGTACGCTGTGCCCCGCTCCCGGCAGGTCTGCGGAAGGTCTACCCGTACTACTTCACCTTCACCACGTTCACCAAGGGCCGCTGGGTGGGGGAGAAGATTCTGGACGTGTTTGCACGCGAGTTCCGCGCCCACCCGGCCGAGGAATACGTGAGTACTCGGTGTGGCCATTGATTTATTGGGACAGGTGCAATGGAGCGGGCTGTGTGTCACGGCGCCAATTCCGGTGACACATTCTGCTGACACACACACATAGGTGACACCGTATCCCGCACAGGGGAGGTGGATGGGCTTTGACCGCCGCGCCGACTGCGTCTGTGGGCCATAAGCCGAAGGAAAACTCGTATTGTGAAAGTTAACTATGAAAGTCAACTAATACAATACCACTGGATTGATCTGCAGAAGGCATGGGCCGCAGTCCTGATGTTCTTGCGTCAGCTTTCATTTTTGCTCTTTGCCGGATTAATGTATCTTACTTGCTGAAAAAAGGCCGTTGTAGAAAAGTAACAAAGGTAATGTTTTCAACCTCCAACTGTTCTCCCCTCCCCTTCCTACTTTTTGGATATGTCGCTAGTTGGTCCTCCTCTTTCTCCTCTCCTTTCTTCTTTCCTCTCTCATCTCCTCTCCCCTCTCCCACTCCCCTCCCCTTTCCCCTCTCCTCCCTCCCCTCTCCACTTTCCACCCCACCCCGCTCGGCCGGTATTCCAGTGAGCGCCGCCGGCGGCGGTCGGTATCGGCCGGCCGTTATCAGCCCGTGGGCCGGTCCCCGCGGCACTGAAACGCGCCGTAGCCCGACGGCAGTCGATTCGCCGTGGCCGAGGCCTATTTCAGCCCGCCTGCTCTGTCGGACCAGCTCGCTGCTGTTGAGCACCGCGGGGTCCCAGGGCCTGCAGGCACTCAACCGTTCAGCACCCCGTGGTTCAGCAGTCGGCGTGTGGCTGGCCAGCTGACCGGATCTGGGAGGGTGGTGGGCGTGGCGGATGGTGATATTATGAACATCGAAGTATCATGTCAAAGATGGCTGTGGTTTTCATCCGATGCATCCATTGAATGTAACGCATTAGTAAACATGCGTGACATTCAATGTCTTCGGCTTATAAGAACTACCTTGATTAATTTCTCATCGAATTGCTTATGTCTATGTTAGGAGATTTGGTAGGATTTTTTCATTAGATTGTGACAACCGGAGTCATTTCATGCCGCGGGTGTTGGTACTGGGAAGTTTCCACTGTTCCTCATTGTCAAAGAGTTTCTATTCTCGCCCAGTTACAGAGTTTCGTTTGATGGTGAACTACCACAAACTTTCATTCCGTAATTACATTCGTAGAAATGAGATTCCCGGGATACTCACTCTGATTGCATTATGTCGGCTGGTATGCACCAAAGTTCATACAGTTAGTGCAGCTGCTGTCCGAGCCTGCTGCTATTTTATGCGGGCGCACGCAGGGGCGCCCCGGCGGCCGCTCATCTGACTGGCGCTCCTGCTCATAAAGCTCTCACGAAACTCGTACGTGACCGGGTGCCGTGATCGTGACTGCGCCGCCGCGCTGGTGGCCCTGGGGACAGGAGCGCTGCCCGCCGGCCATAACCGAACGCCGGCGCGGCGCTCCGCGGCACCGTGAGCGCCGCAAGCCAGGGAGATTTGGGAAACCGTGCTCTACGTGCGGTGTGCATGGAACTGGCAATTTACACACCATAGCAGCATTCAGTGAATTGCAGCAGGAATCTGACCATTGGCTGACGTGTGGACGACTTGCTATAGGACACACTTGTTTTGTTGGATCCGAAATTCTCTACATAGTATAGTATAGTATATCTACACTGTATAGTCTCCCGGCCGTTTCTGAATGATGAGCCTTTATGACGTCATCGCTCCGGTTAAAACCGGGTTTATCTGGACCACCGCCTTCTCTGGTGGCTGTATTCTGAGGCCGACGGCACCCGGTCAGGCAGAGTGCGGGGACACCGGCGCCACTCTCCCAGCCTGTACGGCCGCGCGGAAAGGGCGGGGGCGTCTGACCCCGGAGACAGGGTCGGTCGTCGACGCTGGTCGGTCCGCGGCGGCCGGCATAAATCAGGATTCGTCGTAAAACGGGGGCCGAGTGTGCCGCGCAGAGTACCTGACCTCAAACGGAAGCCCGGCGACCTTACGACCGTTCGCAGAGACGGCCGTACTTCCGCAGAGACTGCCGCACTTCCGCACACCGCACAGTCGTAGGTAGTTGCGCAGAGATGGCCGTACTTCCTTATAGATTGAAGTATCAGGCATGTCCTTCCGCAGAGCTCTGGCCAGACTCCCCTGATGACTCCCGCACACTGCACTCTAGGTGCAATCCTTGGCTGGGCTACCCGGTACCCCAGGTGAGGCCAAAAACCAGCTAACTTACAACCCGATCCTGATGGGGTTTTATCACTCTTTTAGTGTGATATTTCAACTCCATCCATTCTCTAAGAGAACCCATGCCTTTACATTTGATAAACCCTTTAGCTCCATCCACTTTCAATAAATTTAGGAGATGCTGTCCATCATTTATACTTCTATGGTTTTTGACAGTCTATAATCGGGCTTTATTGCGACATATTTTGACATCTTTGGTATTGGTCTCTTGTATTCTAACTTAAGTGTTGTTTATGCGAATTGGATCTATCGGCAAAATGCATTTGGAACATTACGATTGGACGACCGTTTCGCCGCTCCGTGTGTAGTGTGTAACCCACATCCTCATTCGAGAAGCGAGTCTGGAGTCTAGAGTCTGGACCGAGACTGAGTTTCACCACCAGTGCTGTTTCACGAACCACAAACAACTTGTCGAGCTCAGCTCATTACCGACAGTCCTAACGAGACACTCGAGCGGCCGGGTGCGCCCTGGTGCTGACGGGAGGGAGCCGGGCCGACTGCCGAGCCCCCGTGGTCCCGCAGCCCCCGGCCGGAGCGCAGAGCTGAGTGCGAGCTACCAAAGACGTCTGTTTACCAACCAACGTCACAGGCCAATGAGAGGCGACGTGCCTGAGCCCTGCAGGGATTAGCGCAGCTCTGCTTAGAGTGCGATACGTGAAGTGCCTGTTGAGGCACTTGTTCCAGTTCCAATTTGAAATGTTTTCATTCTCTCCAATATAAGTGGCTGAGACTTAATACAGATTTTTGCTTTAGCAGACCGTTTCTTTGATAGGAGTGATGCTGCACACGGACCTGGATAATCAAATGACATCTCAATACGGGCTAATGGGCCCTGGTCATGAGTTCTGGTCATGAAAACCGATGCCATGTTGCCAATTACCCTAATTATTTTCGGCTCTCCTTATTTCTCTTCAATTACGTTATTTTCCTGGTGATATTCCAGATGATTGTCGTATCTCATGCAAGGACCCGTGCCGTCATGCTGTTCACTATCATATTACCATGTTGTCTCTGCAGTCCCCTCCTCCCCCCTCCCCCCAGCACTCCAATCTCATGGGTGTGGCTGTGTCCTGAGAGCACCACCCATTAGCGGCGTGGCGTTGACCTCTGTGTCGGCCGGTCACACTATCTGTGCGGCCGTCTCATCCGACTTCTGATACCCTGACCGCCCGCTGCCCGTCGCCGCTGCTGAGTGGATAGGCTGTGTCGCGATGCGGTCGCTGGTCTGTCCCAGAGAGAGCGCGGCCGTGTCAGGGTCACTGACCCGACATGTGTCATCAGTCGGACGCACCGCCAACGTCAACCGGGCATCACTCGGCCGTACGTGTCTCTTAGGTCAACTCCAGTGCCGGCTAGCGTGTTGGGAGAAGGAGCGGGCCGTTTGAGGATCTGCCTGAGAAAGTGTGCACTGTGGAGTTTCTTTAATTCAGGCTTGGTGCAGCAATGGGCTACGCTCGTTAATTAGTTAATTGGTGGAGCAGTTGGACCGTTATTCGAGACTGGTTCTCTCAACCGGTGGGGCTATTTGCTTGTCCTGCCTCAACTATGGGAGAGATAGGTAGTGAGTGTCCTACCTCAGGTCGTGCCCAGTTTGGGGCAGAGGTCTCAGGCGTTATTAGAGCGAGCTGAAAGGTTTCCGCTAGCGATTCATTTGTTCCTGTTAAATTCACGGCGCCGAGCGGTGGCCTTTTCATCCTCGTCCCTCCTTCTTTTGAGTGGGTGTTTTTGCAGCTGTGCACGTACTCGAGTTTAAGAGCTTTTAGCAGCGGTTATTTGAAATGGGCTCTTCAAGTTGAACTGAAAACAAGGCAGTAAACGTGAGATTCTTTGGTCGACAAGCATCGATCGATTAAAACTCCTAGCATTCAGTGCTGGTACGCTCAAACCGTCGCATCGTACATACTTTAGCTCATGCTTATCTTTTTCAGACTTTTTACTCATTAGGAACAGTTATCTTACCATAGCCGAATTGCACAATGTGCACGTCATTGCTATGTTGACTGGACTACGGGTGCCCTCAATTTGTTTTTGTACTGATAATCAACCGATCGTCATCGCAAGGCCCATTGCTCAGTGCCAGCGGGGCTTTTGTAATCTCGTTTCTTTCGAAAAGCTGATCTTTTGTCGCGGACGCCGTTTTCGCTCAGATAACGACATTACCTCCCATGTGCCGGTTTCCGCTCAGTTTGAGTACCTAGCTAACTGTCTTCGTTCAGACACAGCATGCGGTTTTAAAGCGGTCCGTAAGTACGCCCCCTGGCGATTCTCCCCTAACCCAATTAGGGCCGTTGGGTTCCCGCTCTGCCGGCGCTGAGGGCGGCCTTTTTCGCCGGTTGGTCGGCGGTAACGAGGCGCTGCCCTGTGGTCGGTGTCGTCCCGGGGCAGGCTCCGGCGGTCGGTCAGACGCGGCAATCGACTATTCTCGCCAGCATCCCGCTCCAATTACCGTACCGAATGGAACGGCTGATGGCATCAACGCACGGCGGACAGAGGCCAGTGCCGCCGCCGCCGCCGCAGCGATTACCGCCGCTGACCGCGGGGCGCGCTGAACAGGGGAGGAACAGTGACTCCCAGGGATTTAGGAGGTCTTCATTTATTGCTGACATTTTGTGGTTTACTTTCATCAAGGTATGCTACTACTATCGTTTCATCAAAATATCAATACATGCAGCCATTTCTCCTAGTTTCGGTTTTACGTTTAGGGGTATTTCATACAATGCACCAGCCACCAATAATAAGTTTCACGATCCCTGTCTTTATTGAAACCTAGGAAACTCAAATTGAGAGAGCGGAAGAGATCGTTGAAATTGTGGCTTGTATAAGGAGAGCCTCTCCTTGGCCCGGGGTCCGTAGTGATCGGGTGTACTGCGTCTCTGATGACGTCAGCAGGCTGGTGACGTCACTGGCGGCTTACCGGCACAGTGTGTAATGGCGAACGGCAGGCACATGCCGTATTCAGTGCACTGGAACACGACACACAGGCATTCCGCCAATGGCGAGCGGAGTGTTACAGGCCGCCCTAACAAAGTGAACTGACAACATTATTTCCACGGCAAGGTCATAAACTCTGAGGAATGTGCCTTCGTGACAGGTTTAATTTAAGATCAGTGAAGCAAATCTGAACTGAAAGGGGCATGTAATTGAATCGAAATCAGACAGTGGATCGGTGGCATCACGCCGGTCTATAGCTCTCCACCCATGCTGGTCTAAATACGAAGAAGGAGTTTCCTAGGCTGTAGACGGGTCACAAATTCCTCAAATGTCACTGAGTTTTGGCGCTCTCCGCTGCAGCGTATCGGTAACCACTCCACCCTGACAAACTGCTGGCTCTGTTGGGCGGGACCGGTCCACGCCGGCGGCCTAAACTGGCTTTTCGGCCGCCCAATAAGGTTTAGTGTGGTCGTGTGACGGGGGAAGGGCGGGGAGCGGGGCCAATATGAGGTGCGCCCGCCCGGTGCGCGCTAATGAACTCGGCGGTCAACACGGGCCGCAGAGATTAGGTTTGGTTTGTCTCAGTGGACAGGTGAGAGTCAACTGGGCAGCGATAGCGACCCCCTCCCCTCCCGGGCCGGTGGGGGTGACGGTGTGCTCAGTGATGGCCGGGGAGTGGTGGGGAGGTTAGTTACTGGGGTCCGGTGCGCTGCAGTCGAGCCAATCTAGCGGAAATGAAAACACTGTGAGGTGCAAACATGGACCAGTCATTTTGGAGACTTGTTTCGTGGCTTATTTCGCGGGTACCGGTGTCCAGAATTGTGCCTTTGCTGTTGGCTCTCTGTGCTGTAATATTTCGTAGTTAATTTTGTTCCTCGGTCTTCGATTCGTGAATGTTTGCATCCACGCACTCATTCATATTTCCTAGTATCAAGTTTAGTTATTTGTACCACGCCTTGAAAATTATGCACAAATAATTAGTTAATTAGTCACATAGTGCGGGATAGGCTCAGTTAACTTCGATGCGCTATCGGAGAGCCTATTAGGTAAGCAAATGATTGCCGACTGGGCGCTGAAAACACTCATCTGCCGGACGGCCGTGACGATGCATATTCACAATTCCCCGCCATCCGCCCCGCCCGCCCGTCCGCATACCCCCGGGGCTGTCGACTTTGACAGGGGAGCTGCGCGCGCGGCCAATTCAGCTAATTTGGTTAGCGGCCCGGCTGTGGCCGAATTTGATTTGTGTCACCGACAGTGAGAGAGGCGTGCCGCTGCGGGCCTTATTAGCCCGCCGAGAACGCAGACTACCGCGACGATAAATCGGGCCGAGCCGAAATGGTGAACTGTGGCTATTAGCTGCCGAATTGTGAAATACGGGCGGTCACCGTCATAGACGGATGGTCGGTGCTCCTCATTTGTTCGGTAACTACTCGCAGACGAGGCGTAATTTGATTTGCATCTCATATGAAGGTACTAGCTGTGACTGAAAATGGTCTTATTCACCCAGAAATGTTCGGAGGAAGAGGCGTCTCATCGAGTTATCGCTATCTGTTGGCTTTGCGATCCGTGCAAGAGCCTCGGCGCTTAGACTGGTAACGGTTAGGGGCGGTGCGATTGCGAGACTGTATAGCTGCTGGGGGGGGGGGGGGAGCAAAGCTCTCGAAGTAGCCCTTCAAACAGCTCAGTGACAAGTTCAGACTTCACAAAATGTTGAAGTTGTGTTTATTTCATTCAATCATTTTCATCAATGTCTGACGAGGCACATGCGAATATTTTCTTCATGCTACTGTAAAATGTATTCCGTGTTTTTCGTTGTGTTCTTTTTCTAATGTTCGGTTCACGACCCTCTTAAAAAACTGAGTAGATAAACTGCTATGGTACTTTCGCATTGCTCGATACGCTTTAGGAGTTCGACAATAAAGAGTGTAAACAATATAATTGAAGACATGTTTTGAATCTCTCAGCTGCGCTCGAAATATGCTGGGAGCATTAAATCGCCGAGTGCTGTTCGCCTATCAGCGACGAAAACAGCTCCAGAAAGGCCTCTTTCTTCGGATTTTGCAGCATTGCGCCGTGGGACTTTCTGAGATAATGAGCGTTTCTCCGGTGTCTGCGGGCTTAATTCAAGTCCATCAATTTATATTTCCTTTGCCTTTGGCGATATCGGTTCCTTTGAGAGTCGATTGGTGCAGCGAGCGGCCTTAAAGCGCCAATCACTCGCCATTGGAGATTGCCTCTCCCGAGGGAAGCAGGCATTTGCTGCTTTAATGACTGCCGAGGTGGAGACGGTGATTGAAAAGCAGTTCGGGGAAGAGAACCTTCGGTCGTGAACCGTTGGCACTAGCGCCCAAAGAGCTCGCATTAAAGCGTTTTAAGGAAATGATGGAGATAAAACACAATGGGTGGGCGAAAACGAAATAAATGAAAAGTCAGCAGAGGACTGAAGCGATTTGATGTGAAACACTTGCGTTAGAGTAGTTACTTTCTTTAGGTCTCTATTTGCAGTTGTCCAAACCAATCGGTGATGGGAACTCCTCGCCAAACATTCACCATCAGTAAAGGAGAGCAAAATACTTTCAACGGAGCTGGCAAAGATATCGCTCACATCACCTGTACTATTTGTGAGCTCCGCTGAGTCCACAATCCACATTCACAGTCCACAGGCGACCTCGACTGACGACCACGACGACCCGCCGTCCATGACTGCGACCACCGCAGCTCCCCGATCACAAACCGCCGCGGCTCCCTATCCACTAGCCGCTGCCCGTTCCGATCACTAACCGCTGCCCGTTCCGATCAGTAGCCGCTGCCCACGGTCAGAAACCGCTGCCCCCGGTAGGTAGCCGCTACCCCCGGTCGGTAACAGTTCCCCGTCCCGACCAGTAGCCGCGGCTCCCCGATCACTAACCGCTGCCCGTCCCGATCACTAGCCGCTGCCCGTCCCGATCAGTAGCCGCTGCCCGTCCCTGTCTGCAGCCGCAGCCCCCGATCGGTAACGGCTCCCGGTCCATTCCAGGAGCGCTGTATCCGCGCCGGCACGCTGACCGTCAACTATCAGAAGGTGGACGTGGATCACCGGCTGCGGCACAACGACCTGCTGGCCAACGTGGTGCACCGGTGAGTGGTGTGGCCGGGTCAACAGAACTCCCCTCCTCCCCCGGCCCCCAGAGAGACCGCCGGCGGCACCACCGGGCACTGGAGACGACCGCTGAGCTGGCTGGGCGGGGGCACAGCGCGGCGCCGGGTGAAATCTTCCGCTGTATTAAACGCAGCTTTTGGGTCTCTTCCTTGTGTGGCATTGTGATAATCAAAGAATGCTTTCATAATAAGTTCTGGTGATAAAGCTTGTACCTTTTTTAAGTAAAGCTCGAGATTTTCTAGCATAAAGCTAGTATCTATCTTCAAGCAAAGCTCGATATTTTCTAGCATACCTACCTAATCTCATCAAGACGAACACGTGTTATCTTGTGACGAATGCGCTGACGATGGCCAGCCTCTGGGGCTGTACCCGGTGCCAGAGCACCTCGGGCTGCTTTCCGTGCCGGCTATACGGCCCACGTGTCTCGCTGTCTGCGGGCTCCTCTCTGCACCCCGTCTCCGCTTCTGCACCACGGCCTCAGCGGCGCCAGTCTCTGCACCACGGCCCAGCGGCGCCAGCCCCCCGTTGCACCACGGCCCAGCGGCGCCAGCTCCCCCTCTGCACCACGGCCCAGCGGCGCCAGTCCCTCTGCACCACGGCGCCGCCGGTGCCGACAGCTCGGTCCGGTGTACCTGTCCGCGGGCAGTGACGGGAGCATGGCCCGCCGGCTGACGGCTGGCGGCTGATAGGCTGACGGCTGACGGCTGACCCGTGTCCAGTCGGCGCCGGCCGCTGGCCCGCGGACGAGCCGTCGACAGCTCCCCTGTCCCCGTCCCCCTGCCCCGGTCACGGTACAATGCCCCCGGACAGCTCTGCTGTGTAGCTCCAACTCTCAGAAGTTCACCGACCTCAAAGTCGCGCAGTTGCGGTTCTACCGCCGGTTGGACAAAGGTGATACAAAGATCTGTATTATGCAAGGAGACAACGATCTGTTATCGCTGATCAGTGGCCGTGATTGTTTGGTCAGCACCACTAAGGTGTCAATCACGGGTCTCCTATGGTATTCTTGCTTGAAACAGCTCACGTTCTTTAGCACCCTTGTCACTAATTCGCCAGTAAATCAATTTTGTTTCTTCGTGGTTCTTGGTTTAGGACGTCCTTACTGATTCTGTCATGTGTCGGCGTTTGTTAGTCAGACTTTGGTCTCACCAAAGCCGCGCCTGTTCGATTACAGCCCCAGTTTCATCATGCCGTCAATATCAGCTGCGTGCCCGAGCTCTCTCAAATGGCAGCACGCTCAGTTTTGTGCGGCTGTTATCCATTCCGGACTCGGCGCCCTCTCGTGCGGACGTTACAGCGGAAATGTCGCCATTTGTGGTGTCCGTCTGCTGTGCCGTTTGCGGTCGTCGAGCAGTGTTTTTATTGCGCCTGGACGCCCGTCTCCTGATGATAATGGATAGCACACCCGTCGACACTTGTCCAATTAACGGCTGAAACGCTCGGCGGTATAGCGATGGCCCCACAGCGCTGCAGCTTTCTGTGATTCAAGGTCACAAGGGTCTAGAGATATAAAGGGTCAACTGTAGAGAGAAATATCAAATTTTGTTCAGATAATGATAGTTATGCAGTACAAGTGTAAAGACCATCATCAAATTAAATAAAAAGAAACGTTTTTTCACTCAAAAATGGAAGTTGATAGGTACAATAAGTATCTTTCAGTTTTTAGTACCGCCTTATGGTATGCTTCCTGCTATTTGACAAATAATTGCATTTCTTGGCGGCTCATGACATTGTTATATGCTTTTTGTCCGGCGTGTTGAATGGTTGGCTTATGAGTACGATTTACGAACCTTTAGGCGGGGACTAAGTAAAGCTTGCTTCGCGGGATCACGGATCCACCACTCGACCGCTTTCAATGTCGTTAATCTAAGCTGTGCGACCTTGGTGGTCGTTAGACGGCTCCCTGCATCAATGCGCTGGAAGACAAGGCTGTCAAAAAGTTCAGTGAAAGAATGTAGAAAGCCCTTTCACTTTTATTATCGATAGATATTCATTGCTACTTTGACACCCCCTTGCCTCTGAGGTATGACTAACCGCAATCAAATATTTATCGGTCGATTCAGGTCTCGAAGATTTGGCATTTTATTACTATGAAAGGTCAATTGGCAATCCACTTTTACTATGCCCAGAGCGATATAGTTAGTTTCATTTTATGCCAATGATCTCTTTGTTACCGGGTAAGCTAGAAATTTCACAGAAACCTCTAAATCTCATCACCACATGACGCGCAGCTTCTGACGGTAATCTATTGTAACAGCAATGTGGCCTGACGGAAAACTTGTCACATTTGCATATCAGCCGCTTGCAACTCATGGCAGCCATCAGGCCAGCCTGGCGCGGACAGCCAATTTCAGCTCCATTCTGATCCATTATGAACAGCGCCACTGGGAAAATATGACGCTGTAATACTGCCCCCAGTCAGTTTGTTCACTCGTAAATCCCGGATACATTGTTGAGGTTTTCAATGGCAGACGCTGTTGTATAAAAGGTCTTGTTTATTGCGTCCCAATTAGTTACACATTCGAAGTCATTGAATCCAACGTTAAATGAAAAATTACCTCGGGCGTGATTGAATCCGTTACCTGGGGCAAAATTGTTTCGGGGTTATAATTTAGGCAAGGACGGACTGAGAAATAAGGTCGCTGCAGGTTTTCCGCACACACATATTTCGGAGCGTTTGTGATAGTGCCGCCGCTGAGCGGATTTTTAGCGCACTGAACCGCTGCTGCCGAGCGCAGGCCCAATTGTCGGTGACCTTTGGGACCACTGCGTCTGTGGAGCGCGGTGTGTGCTGCCCACTCGGCGGACAATTTGATCTGTCCTGATTGGAGCACAGGCACTACTCTAAGGACGCCCGGCGGATTGAACGCTCAACGAGTTCCCGGAAAATGGGACATTTAATACCGAAAAGGTGGGGCAGATACTATAACTGGAAAAATTACTGAGCAGTAATTTTTGCGGGTTGAGGCTTCAGCACTGTAGCTTCAACCCGCAAATGAGTGATCAGTTCTACTGACTTACTTGCTAAATCAGACTCATTCCGGGAGCGCCCTAGTTCCCCGTTGCAGCGTGCACGCTACTCTAACAGTGCCTCAGCAGCCACCTGTCCTGTCAAAGCTATGTGTGATTTGTGTCTTATTTGGCGTTCTGAAGACTCGCTAGGTCCAGCATCCTGATGCTTTCTAGCATTGTGATGTGGTGTTTTTTTTTTTAGTGTTTCCTCGTTTCTTGTTCCCTCGAGCTATTGGTAGCACCGAAACATCATCCTGGCGTGCTCAGGTAGACAGCTAAGATTGACTTCAATGTAAAGAAGCTGGCACGAGAAGTGCACTTCTCGTTTAATAGCACATGTGCACACGTGTTTAATAGCACATGTGCTATTAAACATCTTTGGATTTCGCGAGCCTCAAAAGCCCTGCTCTCTGAGTTCGGTATGAAGCTCTCCACCCACGCGCTTCGGATGTGGGTTCTAACTTTGGGCTGCCGGCGGCCGTGACCTTCCTAAGTCAGTGCGCGGCCCGTCGGCCGGTGGCCGGTGTCGGGTCCCGAGGTCGTCACTCATGGCCAGCGGAGTGATACTGATGGCTCCCACTGTAACTCCGCCGGCTGATAAGGGCGCCATCGGCTCAGCTTCAGCAGAGGAGGACCGGTAAATGTCCCCTGACGCCGGCAGTTTTATAAAGTGGTCGACGTGCCCTGGGTTCGGATATTACCAGAGTTTTCGGTGGACTCCACTGTGGCTACGCTGATCGGTTTATTTGAGAATGACTTTCAGCACCTCGTGTTTGATCCCACAACCTTTCGGCGGAACGGAGTGTGGTGTTTAGGTGATGATCCGTGAAACTTGACCTCGATGGCTTTTGAAGGCTGTAAGAAGAATACACTAAGATATTATGGAAAAATATCACTTAAGTTTCACTACTCTCTGTTTCGTCATAAGATATTCATCAACTGCCTTGCCCTTTTTCTGGAGATCTGATGGGCATGCGTTGACGAAGCCGTTCGTTGCCTGTCGCCCATGCCGTTTGCGAGTCTTTAATCACGGTTAGCGTCTCCAGTCCCCGGTGGTGCCCGCCCCCCCCCCCATCCCCCGCTGACCCCGGGGTCACGACCCGACCCCGAGCTGTGGAGTGTGCATGGCACATGTTACGTCACGTTACGTGCTGGCGGCCGTGGGCGCGCGCCAGCCATCCCCGTCCGATAGCCGATTTTTGTGGTAGCGCGTCGCCCCGGCTCGGTGACGGCCGCCCCTAGTGCGTCGCGTGTGTGTCCCGATCGGACCCGGTACCGTCCGCCGCCCCGCCGCCGCCGCCGCCGCCGCCGCCCCCGGGCCGGCCGCCGCCGCCCCAGCCCACCGCGGACTCATGACTCCGCTGCACACTGTTGCAGACACGAGGTGCCGATCACGGCCGATCCCGTGCCTCTCGTTCACATGGACGACGATATCGTTGTTGTCGACAAGCCCTCCTCCATACCGGTGAGTGGCCGCGAGTGTCTGTGTGCGCGTGTGAGGGAGAGTTCACAGGTGGTGGTTCGTCTGGCAGTCCGGATTCGGCGGCGGCTCACAGGTCAGTCAGCATGTGCACGGGCCAGCACGCCGGGCCGCTCTTTCTCCACCACTAACACTGACCCAGCACGCCAGCAGCGCGGTGTGGCCCACCCCGCCTCTCCGCCCCCTCGTCGACAGGCGCTGTCTCTACTCTGTCCTCCGTCTGTACTTCCCAGCTGGTCATCTGTGCGACTATCCTCCGCAGTCCTGGATGGTGTTTCACCATCATTACCCACTCGTCCCGTCTTATCCGTCAAGTTCTTGCTGTTCAGAGTTTCTTCTCTATTTGTTGTCGCTTTATTGCGTTGTTTCCTGCTGGTGTTTTCCAGCCTTCCTACTTTAATTTCCTTCTGTCTCCTTTTTTGCATTTTTATCTACTTTCCCTCTTTCCTCAGTTCGCTCATTTTACGTTTCTCTTTTTGATATCTTTTTGTTTTCTCACTCTGTTTTTTCTACTTTCTCTCTTGCTAACACTTTCTCGCCCTATTTCCCTTTTTCTCTCCCTAGCTCAGAGACCTCCTCTTCCCTCCCCTCCCCTCTCGCCCTCCTCCTCCCCTCGTCCACCCAGCTCACCCTCCCTTTCTGTCTGTATCTTTCTCCTCTGGTGTTCGGATTGAAGTGAGCGCCCGTGTGCCGGGCCGGCCGTGACGCCGCGGGCCGCCGTGACGCCGCTGGCACCGTGACGCCAGAGAGCCCCCTGACACTGTGTTCCAGGCACGAGACACCCGTGCTCTCGCGGCCCATGGAGATAATCCACTTGTCCGATGAGCTGGTGGTGCTGGATAAGCCCTGTTCTCTGCCGGTGAGTACAGGCCGCGCACAGTCCCGGTACTCACCGCCCCGACCCTGTCCGTAACACAGACACCGGTACTGAGCACCGGCTGCCACCCCGTCCGTCACTCCGGTCAGAACACCGCGAGAAACTGCTGGTCCGAACGCCGCGAGAAACTGGTCCGAACGCCGCGAGAAACCGGACTGAACGCCGGGAGGAACCGGCACGAACAAGGGGCTGGTAGAAACCGTTCCGAAGACCGGGAGAAACCAACCCAAACACCGAGAAAGGCCGGTCAAAATCCGGGAAAGACTGGTCGAAACACCGGGAGAAACCGGCCCAAGCACCGGGAGAAGCAGAACGGAACACCAAAAGGTCAGAATGTTGTGGGAAGCGGGCCCAAAACATCCGGATAAACTGGTCCATGCACCGGGCGAAACCAGACAAAACACCGGGAGAGACTGTACCGAACGTCGGAAGAGACCGGCCCAAACACCGAGAGAAACCAAACACAATATCCGGACAACTTGTGTACGACACCGCAAGTAGCCGGGTGAAGCACCGGGAGAAACCGGTCCACGACGCCGAGAAGAAAGGATGAAACAGTTCGCAGTGCTCTTGCGAGGAACATCCTGGTTCATCACATCGGGAGAAACCGGTCCAAGCACTGCTTCTCGGAGGAACCGGAAGGAACGCGGCATACCTGAGAGAAAACGGGGCTGGTATCGCCATCGGTCCTGTCGCTCGGAATGTTTACAAAACAGAGGACACCTCAGCTGCTTTGGGATTGCAACTGGCTGAGTCTGATGGTGAACACACGAGAAATCTAAGTAACGAGGTCAGTCTATGAGACGAGCTTTAGTCTATGAGACGATCCTTTGGATGGTTCGTAGGGGTTGTCGACTGAGTGACGGCTGATAAAGGACGACTGCTGACAGCGTGAACGAGCCGTTGGAAATCGCGAATCGTACCGTTACGCCACATAGTCAAGGTGAGGCATAACCGCAGACCCGACAAAGGAAATTACTGACGGGACGTTTTTTGATCAACCAGGGTGCATTTTTTTAGGCACGGGCTCTCGAGTGGAGGCATAGACTGAGACTGACTGGGAATGAGACGGCCAAAAGACGACGCCATTTACAACTGGGCGGAGCTAGGAACGTTTCACTGACAATCCAGACTCACTGGCCGTCGGCATGTCAGGGACAATGGACGACGAATGCGTCCAATGATAAGGTTTACTGAAGGAGTAAAGTTACACCACAGACGGAACGGCTTCTATCAATTCATGCCTGTACGACGTAGGTTGTACTAAAACAAAGTCGGTTGAGGAGCGGGTCTCCATACGACTACGGGTGTGTAGCTAGACGATTGTCTTTGTCCCAGTTGAGGTTCACCTTATCCCATCGGCGAAATATTATGCAAAATGTTATGTTATTTTCGCTCTTTTTCGCGATCTGACAAGTAAGATTTTGGAAGCGACATCAGCTTTATTTCAAGAATCAAACCCGGTATTTTTTTGTAGCAGGCACCGTTCAATAACACATTCGGTAGCGTCTTGGAAGCTATTCCATTATAATCGCATGCCATGTTTTTCGGCAGTCTTTTTTTTGCAGCGCTGCTCACCCCATCTACTATTTTTGGTAGGTTATTGTTTTCTCCTAGCTTTGTTATGCTGTCCAGTGATATCAGATATCTGCACGTAAAAATAGCAGTTCTTTGGGGTGTTGTGTTGCCAAAGCAAAACAAATGTCTTTCCTGGAGGCGATTGGTAGTTTTATTGATATTGATTTTCTCATCAGATATATGTTCTGCTCGTCACAGCGAATCTTCTCCATTTAGCAAAATCACTTGAAAATTGTTCCGATACCCGCATCTACCATTCAGATCGTCTTTTTCATATCTGCCTACTTTTATAGGGCTCGTCCATAGTAAATAAAATTGCGGCCCTGGTGGCGCAGTCGGTTAAGGCGTCGACCCGCGGTGCGGGCGGTGCCGGGTTCGGGCTCGATTCCCGGTTCCGCCCGTTCCGCGGGCGTCGTCCCCGGCTGTGTCACCAGGTGTGGGGTAGGCTCCCACTTCAGCCGTAGCCTGGGGGCCCTCCTGTAAATGGGCATACATGAGCCCGTTGGAGGGAGGCCTGAATATAAAAAAAATAGGCATATATGTATTTATCTTTCATCAGCGAGAGATGGATGAGACGTCTGTGAGGCCTGATCTGCTTGCTCGTTCCCTCAGTCACACAAATATTTCTGGTGGCGCGCGGCGGGTCTTGTTGGCTCGTTTTCTGGTCGCTGAGTGACAGACGACCTGCGGCAGCCCACCGCTGAGTTGTCAAACAGCTCCGCGCGGCCGGGAGCCGTGGTCACCGGCGCCGTGTCTGGCTGACACGTATGAGGAAATCGGGCAGCTCTGCTGGCGATGCCGGCTGCGGGCGATCAGGAAACGGGATTCAAGAATGGAAAAAGTCTCGAGCTCTGTGACAAAATCACGTCGCAGTAGCACTTCGGATGTGGGACAGATGCGTAGTTGTTGACAACTTCTGGAATAACTGCGATTGAAATATGTGCATAGTGGAATGAAATGTGGCTGTGACGTTTTACATATATTAGGCTGAAAAGAAGCACAATTGTTAGCATGGCTGAAATGGGCTGCGGAAAACAGCCTGCTGCTTGACGGGAATACATAGTAACGACCCGCCCGCTGAGATAACACATCGCGTCTGTGTGTGCGTATGCCAGCGTTGGTCACCGTTGAACGCTGTCTTCGCGCATGCCAGCGCCTCAGCTGCTCCCCCTGCCCGGGGGGGGGGGGCGTGTCCAGACACCTGTTGGTGGACCGATCGACGCTGGCAGACAGCCCAGAGGACGGGCGGGCGGCGGGCACTGGTCCCGCAGAGCGGAGACGGAGCGACCGATGGAGATAGCCCTCCGGGCGGTCCGTTCCTAAAGGGAAGAGGGCGTCGGGTGACCCGCGCTGCCAATGCGCCGGGCGCCGGTGGTGCTAAAGCGAGCTCACTTTCTTGTAAATTTAGGCATTGGCCAGCTTTTTACTGAACTTTTGGTGTGGTATCGTCTATTTCTCAATCATGGAATGGCAACTCCGGTAAAATTTTGGCCGCTTATTTTTGTTACGCTTGTCGTTTGACTTGGCAGAATGTTACAGATTGACACTACATAGCTACGACAGGATACCTATTTTTGGAAAAATGCCACTTCAGAGGACGAAGCCGAACAACCCAAACACTGGATCGTCCGCCGCGGACAGGCGCGACTGGCATGTTACAGAGACATGGGAACTGTGACTGACGAGGTCTGATGGTTGACTGACATTCACATATTGTGGCGAGCTGTGACTGACGAGGTCTGATGACTGACTGACGAGGTTTGCCGACTAACTACCGCTAACGGACGGATAACCAGCGGCGGCTGCCGACTGACGAGAGAACACGACGGACCAACTTCCCGCTGACATCTACTAGACACGACTAGAGGGCATATCGCTACCCCGAGCTTTGACATCCAGTGAATCACAGCGGGGTCGTACAGGGAGCTGGTCTACCTGTGTGTTTACTTTTCGTGGCCGAATCTCGCCTCTATCTGGCGCCCAGCTGCTGTTGTAAGTGTTGTAAAAGGACGGTTAGACGGTAAGACAGGCCCTGCTCTTAGCTGTTTGCCATAGATTGCCTCATTTCGTCGGATTTGTAGTGTTTTTGGCGGAGTGTTTTGTGTTTTCGGGTAATGTTTAGTTCCCAAGCCCATACATGTTCCACATCTCTTTAGTTAGACTCTTCAAAATACTTACCTTTTGTGGTATGGCCCTTTGGATGTTTTTCAGAATGTCTCCCGACATATCGCGTTATGGTAATTGTCCATGCATGACAAAAGACTGGTTGCAGCGTTTGAAATTTGCTCGAAAACTGTTATGAGGGCTGTGAATTGTGTAATGCTCTGTTTCTGACTGCATGCCTTGTATGTCAATGGTTCTGTTGTTGATAGTGTGATAACTGATAAAGGATCACTGTGTGATGTGTGTAGGAGATCTCAAATTGTAGCGATGGCTAGATTATATTATCCTCATGATAATGAATATGCTGTCATTACCATATTGCACACTTGACGCTGGCTCGGTCCCGTCGTTAGAGTCGGTTGTTGAAAAGGCCAGCTAAGACTGAAGCCATTCTATTCATCATTGCGAGGCTTTCCTTGAACAGTGAACACTTGAACTTAGTTACTTATCCTGGTAATAAAGTAAACAAAATGCTACTCAGAAGGTATGGCAGTTCGTTGGAAGGCTCGTGTCAGGCTCGTGTCGGGTCGCTTTCCGATGTCTCCCTCAGTGGTGCTGGCTCACTGAGGCGACAACTGGCTGCGGCCTCGGTGGCCGCCCTGCCGAGCGGAGCGTAAAATGACCTCCGGTCATACTCAGCAGAGCGTGCCGCAGCTGGCCGCCTCTCAATCCTGCCCTGCTCGGCGGCACAGGGCGCCCCTTTCCCAGGCACAGTCGCGTGATTCTCATATAGTGGCATAATACTCAAAGATATGATGCAACTATGCGCCCAATGTCCCATCTCACAAACGTCTTCGTCGGCACGATGGTCACGAGTCACGACACAATTTCCTGCACTTCAAAGCCCGTCGTCCTTCGCCACAGTGCCAAGACCCATGCCCTTTGTCTTGCGAGTTGCGACCGGGACCGAGTCCCAGGGGTCGCGGCTATCAGCGAGTGTCTGTCGTCATCCATGATCCAGTACGCGTTATCAATAGTCACACCGTGGTGATTGGTCACATTAGTGATTCGGCCCCGTCAGTCGTTGCTCTCCTTTCCCCACCGTCGCTCCGCTCACTCCCCTAAAATATACCGAGTCAGACGAAACAGCCAGTTAAGGCAGAGAGTGCCTCGATCTCGGTTTGTGAGTTGTTTGGCCTCACTGCGCGACGGGTCATCCGACGTGTTATGGAGATGTCGCAATCTTCAGAACTCTCCTCTGAGCTCCCCTTTAGCACAGTTAGTGGGCCCCAGCGGACGATATAGCTGCTCGTCCTGCCCTTCCGGCGTAATGAAACATGCAAAACGACCCGCCAGGGCGCAAACACAACACGTTCAACTTGAACAATGCAGAGCAATGAGGGTCGAGAACCTGTCCACTTTTCCTACTTTCCTATTGAACGTAAACGATGCCTTTGCCTTTTTGCCATGTCTTAGGCCAACTCATTCCCAGGGCGCTAAAATGATACGTCGGCACAAGGTAACCTAACGGGCACTTGGCATAACTCATAGGTATTACCAGTATTACTCATAGGTATTACTCATAGGTAGGTACGCATCTTATTCAGTAGCGGCGGAACACCTTCAATTAAGGGGGGGGGGGCACTGCCGACTTTTGGTCCCATTCTTTCCATGCAACGTCCATAGGGCTAATGTTAAAATGCCAAAATAAAAGGGGGGCACGGTGCCCCGGTGCCCTCCCCGTTCCGCCGCCTATGATCTTATCCGGTATCACGTTGTAAAGGTAGCGTTTTGGACTTGACTTTGTCTCTAAAACGTGTGTCGTCCGTTGGCCTGTGCACTGTTTGACACGTGTATTCGCAGTGTGTTGTGTATGATGTTGCGTCTACCGCTCTATTGATGTCTCCTGCGCGTGTGCCATTATTCTGCCGTCCGTACCCTCTGTATCATCTTGTACCATATCTCAGCCGTGGGCTGTGGTCGTGACGCTTGTACACTGACCAGTTTCCTCGCTGTGTCGCCAGGTTCATCCGTGCGGCCGGTACCGCCATAACACGGTGGTGTTCATTCTGGCCAAGGAGCATGGCCTGAAGAACCTGCGGACCATCCACCGCCTGGACCGGCTGACTAGTGGTGAGTAGACACAGCACAACACAGCATAGCACACAACACAGTGGACCATCCACCGCCTCGACCGGCTGACTAGTGGTGAGTAGAGACAGCACAGCACACAGCACACAGCACATCATCTCGCCGAACCGTGACCTGGACCACCATGTACCGAGGACTAAACGACTCGGTGTGCAGTGGCTAGTGCTTTTATTTGGTCATTTTCCCATCCGGTCTATGACGTTTTGGCCGTGCAGTAAATGTCATTACGGTCACTGGTCAGACCTCAAATAAAACGGCATCATTGACAATTGTGGTGTTCCTAATGCGCTACTTCAGAACCGAATGCTCACTAAACATTGGGCGTTATTTATTTGTTTTGGGCGATGACGTTCTCCAATGGGGCACGTCAGGCAGCTTGTGTGTTGTCTTTAGTTGTGAGTTTATAAAACAACTCAGCAAGTACTTTGTCCAGGGGCGGATCCAGCCGATCCGTTTGGGGAGGGCAAAAGTTTCCGACCTATCCGACGACCCCTATCCACCCCGCACTGGGAGGAATGTAAGATACATTTTTGGATGGGGATGCAAAATTTTCTCAAGGAGCCCCACCGAAGGTTTTGGGCCCCTTTACTTTTTCAAGCTGTCAATCATCGATTTATAAAAACCAAAAGTTAATGAAACAATCCATACAGGAAGTTATCCAAAATGTTTGCATATTTCAGTGAACCTCACAAAATCACAGCATACCTAATTAAGTGAAATGCGACAATTTTTTTTACTGGGTGATTTTTCTTATGCTAACCACCACCCGCAAGCCTCAAACCACTTTTCTGGATCCGCAGGGGACCTTTGAGAGCCCTACGGGTCCGCTCTTACTTCAGACCGGTAAAAAACCTCTGGAAACTGAATGACTCAATGGAGGCTCCTCCAGAGACCTTCACGACTTCTCAGATTGAATGAGCCCCCGACCAGGGTCGGTTCCTCAGAAGGTGCTGAAGGGTTTCAGAAAGCAGCGTAGGCTCGAGAGTCTTTAAAAGTTCTTCATAGGGTTCTTCATAGGCCAGCGTGGGCCCTTGGAGCCTTCGTTACAGGACTCTCAGAGGTCAGCATGACCCCTGCAGTCTGCCTGCATTGAGGCCCGATCAGAGGCCGTCGTGGGGCCCTCAGACGCCAGCGTGGGCATTTGAAGCTTGCGTTGGGTCCTAGAGGTCGTCGTGACGGCCCATAGATGATAGAGGTCGTCGTGAGGGCCCTCAGGGACCGTCTCGGGAGGAAGTGTGGAAGTCGTTGTGAGGGCCCTTAGAAGCCTTCAAGAGGACCATCAGAGGTCGTCATGAAGATCCTTGGCCATCATGACGGTCTTCATAGGCCCTGGGCCCTCAGATATCTTTGCAAGGCCCTCAGAGGCTGTGGTAAGGCCATCAGAGTACATCGTTAGGGCCATCAAGAGACCGTCACAGGTTCCTCAGATGCCAGCATAGCCCCTGCAGCCTGGTTGTGTTGGGGCCCTCAGAGGCCGTCATGGGCCGTCTAAAGCCCGATGGGCACTCAGACCTGAGATAGATCTAGGACCGTGTCACGAGGGCCCTCAGAGACCGCCGTGGGGGCCCTCAGAGGCAGCGTAACCCCTGGAGTCTCCCTGGGGTCCTCAGATGCCGCCATGGGGCACCAAACGCGGTTCGGGACACTCCTAGCCGGTGAGGGCCCCAAAGACCAGCATAGGGCGCTCCTGACCAACAACTGGACGTCTGATGATCGGTGATCCCACATGATCGTTCGTTTCCCAATCACTGGTCTTCAGGAGAAAATGTATTTGGTGGTGTGACAGGCCTCTTATACGGCTTTTGGGGGGTGAAAAAGCTATGTTTGCACCCCAATGTTTTTCCATGGGTCTGGAGCTGAAACCCCTGCACCCTTTATCCGGATTTCCGCTGCCCTTGAGCACCGAGATGACCAAGCCACTTTACAACGCCACACTATCTACATGCAATCAGTTCAGGGAGTTCGATCTATTAACAGCATTCTGGCATAAATCATCAGCAGCGAACGTCCAGCTCCTTCCTTCGGAATGGCCGTCACCGAAAGTCCTGCTTTTCGTCCAGATAGCCCTCGACGCCTTATTCAATTTTATCATCTCTGCATGCTTTGGGAGGGGCAAAAGAACAGTCTTGCCCACATGATTTAGCTTTGGGGAGGGCAAATGCCCATTTTGCCCTCCCCTGGATCCGCCACTGACTTTGTCTCTCCGTGTACACTACACAAAAGTCGAAGCTTATGTTTAAGAACTTGGGGTTCTCGCCGAATACCTATTCTCTTTCCCAGCTTGTGTTTTGTATTTCTTTCCCTCGGTGCATTCATGTTGGTATTTTTTGAGTTATTTCTCATTATGATAACAGATGTTTATCAGCGGAACTGCTTGCTTTCCTCAACGTTTACCAAGTTCCTTCACGTGTCTGCATTCCAAGTTATTTCCTTTTCCTTTTGGGTTGATATCAGCCCGTATATGGGACAGACGGAACAGTCAGTGAGTGTACTGTTCACCAGCCAGTCCCAGTTCCTGTCCGAAGGCATGGTGTTTGATCGGTTGCCACGCTGGTTTTTACCGCCACACCGGTCTGTTGGCACTGGTAACCGGGAAGGAACGCTAGCGACAAACACCTGAATACCGTGACAAGCCGTTGTTTACCGTGACACTGAGACACATGGATACGGCCGGTGGTGTCACCTTACTGTGACGGTAATGGCGTGAAGAGCCACACCGGGATTGGTACGATACGATACGATACGAACGATACGGCACGATACGAATATGGTACAATTGATGATACAATCATGATCATTTACATGCGTCGCAGGCTACCCCGTCCGCCAGAACAGTATGTCAACTGTTGGTTATGAGGAGTTTTTTTCGGCGACTTTCTTGACCGTTGATGAAGTTTGATTTTATTTGTTGTTTACATTGCCATTCAAACCACATTCATCTTAAAGGGGCCCTGACACTTGCACGATTTTGTGGCACGCATTGGCACGAATCGAAGCGTGCCCGTGCGCAAACTAGTCGTGAACTGACATGAAGTGTGCGTTAACTCGTCGTGACTTCGTGTCATGTCGGGGCAAAAACTTTGAAATGTTCAAAGTTTTGGTCACGACAAAATTTCGCAACCGGATCGTGAATTATGCGCAAACTGTTCGTGAACTCGTCGTGAACTCGTCGGGACGGTGCGGGAAGTGCGTAAACTATGCGCAAACTATGCGAAAAGTATTCGTGAACTCGTCCTACCAGCCCGTGCCAATGTGTGGATCTCGGCTTGCTTCGCAGCGCGAAATTTGGGATTGTTTGGTGTTTTTCCCTAGTCGATTGGACGCCTACACTGTAAAAAAAATTCACTAGCTAATTTTGAAATTAGGCATTTTTTACGAGTGCCTCCCTTGCACCTCGTTACAACATACATGGACATTGGTAGTCAGAGCCATGCACGTTAACAATGCCCTTTGTGGAACAAATGCCTACGAGCGAGAGCATGTTCAGGAACCTAATTTTGCGCAGTGTTAATGAACTACGCACAGCCTCACAGTGTTACCCGCCGTTGGCTTGTTCTCGGCCAGTTTTTGGCGTGTCCCTCAATTAGGTCATTTTGCTATTAGCTCAGCTGACGAGGCCCCGGCTGGCACCTACTAAACGGATAACCTTGCGTGCAACCCCGCTTGTTGTCACGAACGCCTGCAGCTGATAAACGTGCTGGTAAGCTTGCGTGGTCAGCGGCTTCGGATGGCTATGAGGATGTGCCTCATAGCTATCCTCGTCGCATGTTACAACCTAGGAGTCTGTGGCTGCTTTCAGAAGGAGTCCCCCCCCCCCCCGGCCGCATCCGGGAGCCGGCGTCCATTTTGTGTTGCGTCGCCATTACTGTGTGTGTCTGCCCAACTGCTCTTTGGCTTGATTGAAGGTGAGGCATCTTGTATCATTTGCTGTGTGCTCAACAAAAAGGTTGTCCATTTGTAAACAAAAGTTATTATGTTGTTGAGCTTCTTAGAAGATGTATAGTATCGCATAATGTTGCCCGTCGTTGGCAGAAGTGCGCCGTTATCGTCTATCCAAGTCAGAATAGCTATATGTTTGGGACTTAAGCTAGCTTGTGGCAGGATATATCACTTTCTTCAACTTAAATTTAATCATTTTCCAGATTGGTATGCCTTATGATAATAATAATGTTGATATTCGTTTTTTTCACCCATTACAGACTTCTCTGGTAAAGAATGGGGCCATGTACATATGTCCTGGCCTACCTTCACCCCGCGACCATGCCGCCGGTGCAGAGCTAATGAAAAATCACAAATGTTTGATGGTGGTTATTTAAGAAACCTGATTGCAAATTATTCAGTTAGTTGTTGTTGTTGTTGTTGTTGTTGTTGTTGTTGTTGTTGTTGTTAACCCGCGCCCCGCTGGGCTATTCAGCCATACGCGCCCTGCTGGGGGGGGGGGGCAGATTCTGCCCCCCCCCCCTGTCTAACTTCCGAACCGATGGTCGTAGAAAGACGGGGAAAACGGCAATCGAAAGCTTGAGTGACGTCAAATTTTGAAGTTGGTTGTTAAGGCCTAAAAAGGTGTCTATCCGATGCAGTTCTTCACGGCGAATCGAATGGTGCTATTTTTATTTCCGTACGAGGTCTACAACTTCCAAAAAAATCATTTTTCAAAATTTTTGTGTGTCGTGACGTCATAACATTTTGAATAACTCCCACATTTTTGAACCGATTCTTCTAAAAATTGGTATGTAGGTGCACATAGACCACTTCTTTGACATATATTCCGGTTTTTTCGATAAACTCAAAATTTTGGATTTTATAAATATTTTCCCAAAAAAGTCAGTTTTTTGGAAAAATTTTGGCCAAAATCCAAAATTTTCAAAAAACCGAGATAGCCATTTGATAGACAAAGTAGAATCACGTATAACCTTTTTTGTTACGTCTTGATTCCTTTAAAAATGAAGAAGTTAGCGGCGTTTGAAATGTTGCCGTTTTTT